TCTTCTTCTGAATATAAAGCACGAATGATTTTTCGAACTGTGGCTGTGCCACTATCTTCAATACAAGTTAGAAGCACATTTGGATTAATATTGTTGATTAGTGTCGCATGTTCACAAATAGTTTTTGCAGATAATTGTTCACCCAATCTTTTTCCAAGATTAATGAACCATGAACGAGCTCCTGCATTGGGTAGAGCTAAAACAGATGAATATTAAAAGAAAGTTTTTGAAAAGTTAAAAATTCCAACGAATAATAGCTGCATTGATAATAGCAGTGAAAAATTTAATATAGGAACAGTGACAACATAATTATATCGAGAAATTGTTGCTTTTGTTATTGAAAGAGTACAACTTTAAAAGATAAGAGACAGAGATGAGCAAAGTCGCACCGCGCCTCCCCGCGCTTCCCCGCGCCGTTGCTCACGCCTACACTACACTAGTCTGAGCTTTGATGAGCGCATGCTTAGAGCATCCCGGTATTCGGTGGAGTTTGAGAAACTGATTGGTAGAGCAAAGAGAAAGAGAGATGTGCGTAGCGCCTAGGCACGAGCAGTGGCGCGGGGAAGCGCGGGGAGGCGCGGTGCGATTTTGCTCATCTCTGATAAGAGATTCAAACTCTTTCTTGATCCTTTAAAGAGAATATTTTATGGCCAAGTTAAAAAGAGTCTAATTGAAAATATATACAACTCTGTACATAAAACTATGCTTTTTATATTCAAATGTCAATAATATATGCACCATAGGCATTTTAAATAAATAATATGGGAACTAAAAGTATAACCATAACCAATTTTATACTTACGAACATAATTTTTCTTATAAAAATTAATTTGTTTTTGTAATGTTTCAATTTTATTCTTTTTTTTTGAAATCGTCTCTTCAATCTGTTATATTTCTCTTTTGAAACATAATCTGATTGATTTTCTTCATTATCCTCTTCTTCTTCACTACTCTCAGTTGAATCTAAACAAACTTGTATTCTGAAAAGGTATCAAGTAAAAAATAATATTTACCATCTTCGTGATTGATCGATTTCAAGACTGATTGAGATCCTGCTTGGCTTGATGAGGCAGTTGAAGTTAACTTTTTTGACAGAATTTGATGATTAACATCAGTTATTCGTTTTGCTGGTGATTCACCAGCAACAAGATTGTTGAATTTTGTTTTTTTTGAACAATCATTGATTTCATAAACTTCATCCTCTAAAACTATAAATTAGGTAAAAGAAATGTGTACGAATCTGATATTAGGATATCGACTGAAGACGCTTATTAAAAACACCGGCTATTTATAGAAACTTTCTCTTAAAAAAAGAACTTTTCGAACCTCCAAAAATATTCTCATTAGTTGATAAGAATTCAGTGTTATCATTAAACAACTTTCGTTTAACTTGAGATGTTTTTTTTCCAAAACGTGTTGGTGATCTAACAGTAATACTACTAGCCGAATTTATTTTTTTTGAAGGTAATGCATCAAATTGATCATCAATTTCTAAATAAAAAAAAAAAATATGGTTATATATAAAATTCAAATAAGTCGATAAAAACCAATTTATTTTTCAAAAAGTGAAAGTTTAAATTATAAATGATAGATATCTTTTCGATGATAATTACTTCAATACTTCGTGCTGGCGAAAGACTTTGTTAGAAAAATGCTTCCATGAAAATTATAGATAATAGCATATTAATTCGGTCATTTTTCTCATTCTTTTACTATATGAAGTTGATATTTAAGTTATAATATGACTGTCGAGAGAATTTAACAATGATCTTCCGTGAAAAATATTATAAGATGCAAATAACACCTGTTTATGTCTCGATGTGTAAACAGCTCCATATTTCTTTTTGAATGCAAGATCTTCGATCTTTCATTTCGATATTTATATTCAAAAATTCTCACCGATGATGGTTTAAAAGATGTTGTCTTCATTTGTTAATAGAATTATTTCTAAAAATCAATTAAAGTATTTTGGTTCTTCAAAATTCATCACTGAAAATTGTATAAAATTGTATATCATTTGTAAAGTAGGTTTTTTAAGCACCTACTGTATTAACAGAACAGTGATGGTACAAACTAGACTTTTTCATTGATATTCCTAATTTAATAGCTATGAAAAAGAAAAATTACCATTTATTTTTGATGATTCTATTTGTGTTGTTGCACCATCCATAACGTAATTTTCCATATTTATTTTTTTGAAGTTGAGTATCTAGAGAAAAAGCATCAATTAATTTCATATAGTATAGATGAATAAGCTCACTTGATTCTTTTTTATATCCATAAAACATTTTTCACGATTGATATTATTTGAAATTTTCGATGATGAATTTGTTTTGTCTATATGTTACAAACAAGTAAAACATTTCAGTTATCAAGTAATAGACAAAAAAAGAGTTTGTATGTTTTTTTTTTTGTTATAAAAGATCGTGAACAAAAATAACTATTCATAACAAATCGTCACTTTCAACTAAAATTCTTATGTTTCTAATAGATTCAAACAGATCTTAGTGCAAATTATTGAGTTTTGTTGCTAGAAAACTACTAAATAGATTTTGCTAGATGAACATACTCCAAAAGGTATTTGATATGCCTTTTTATATCACAAGACAATCATCGTTTATATATGGCGATAATTATCTAATATGACTGTCAGACTCAAAAAATGAATCCTTCAATCATTTTCTAATCATAGAAACAGCATATATAATATATTGTAACACGATAATCCTGTCGAATATCTTTCGTAATTGAGCGAACGTTTTCTTTATTGCAGTACAACGTAACATATATTTACATTTTGTTTTTCCTGAAAGTTGATCTTCTTCAATATTCTCCTCTTGTATAACTTGAAGTTGTTCAACACATAAATCTTCACTACCTTTAAAAAAATAAGCAGAAAAAATTGTATAAACATTTTGAAGAATTACAAACTAACCGAAAAGCAATACTTTTCCACGTTCTGATTTTCTGGAATCCGTGGTTAACTTGTATGTAGCAGTTTCATTTGCTTTTACAATTTTACCAAAATTAATAAAACAATCCAAAGGTACAAGAATAACTTTATTATCTTTTTCTCTTTGGACTATAGCATGAGTATGGTCACCGGAGCATTGAACATTTGCAATCGAATAATTCGACTGTGAATGAACACTTGAAACAGAGTTTCGTCGACAACGTTTTTCTTCCATCTGGAAATAAACAAAAGAGAAATACATAAAAATATTCTGAGTTTAAATCTAAAAAAGAGTTAAATTTAATTTTTTTAGATATAGTTTTCGATTATGAACTATAAAAACAACTTGCACTAAATTGTTTTGCTATAAAACTGTTGAAATCCCGACCATGTTTTCTATAGAAAGATTAACAGTCTATGTAACGAACACATTTTAAAACTAAACACATAAAGAATCCAACAGTTTTATTGGAGGACTTTATATTAGAAAAAAACTTCATTTCCTATTTCATTTATGAACCACATCTAACAAGTTCTTCTCTTACTTATGATCATGATGCGTACTCAAAAAAAATCCTAAAATTTTTTTATAGGTGGCGCTGTTATGGTTTGACTTCTGTGATACCAAATGCCGTTACTTAATGAAAGTAATTACTTTTATAAGTACACAGAAGATTTCAAAGAAATTTATAAGAATTCTGTTCAATTTGAAAGCTGTTAAAATATATTTTGATCACGAAGATCATTCGATTATTAAAACTCTTGTTCACTTGAGAAAAAAAGCATACGATATCAAAGATAATATGTGCTGCTCATCATTCTAAAAGTCAACGAGTGATTGATGTTATATATTGCTTTTAAATGTCTCTGTAGATTCATAGGTTTTGAAGATACACATTCTTCTATAAATACAAAGACGTTTACCAAAATCTTTTTTTTTTTTCGGTATCCTTAAAAAGAGAATTATGTGTTGAAAATTTTGAATACTATATGTGTGTTTGTATTCGACTTAAAGTTTTAAATTAAACCATTTCTAGTATTTTATATATTGGATAGATAAACTTGGTTGTACCTTCTCGTCATCAATTGCTTACTAATTAAAAAAATATCATTTTCGTGTATCATCAGTGTTCATATTTAATGTTCGAATGTATATTCTAGATATATAAAATCAATTCTGCATCTCAATTTTCAACTATTTCGTTAACATATCATCATCTGAGTATCGTTTTATATAATGAAAGCTCATTGACGAAAAGAAAAATTATAACGCATCATATGAACTTGTATATTTTATTTATTCATATTTGGAAGCTACAATAAAAGACATGCATGAATATTATACCCACTAGAAAATTTTTGACCAACCAATACCTATAAGATAAATCTTATTTGAAAACTGTTAAGTGCTCAACAATATTCGATTTCTTTTTCATGACTTTTTTTATTTGTCCTAATAATTAGTGCATCATATACATTAATGTATCTTTGCATGTGTTTGCTATATTTATTCTGCATAATATAAAAAAAATAGTTATATCAGTGACAATCAGTGGCGTAGCCAGAAATTTCTTGAGGGAGGTGCCGTTTCATTATGAGGATGCACGTCAGCAGCAAAATAAATTTCTATCTTTCAGAAGAATCTTTTATCCTTACTTCCCTTCAGACTTTTTTGGTCAAGGGATGCTCTGGCACCCTGTTACCTCCTCCGCTGGCTACACTCCTGATGCCAGTACCAGTGTATTGATAAAAAGTTAATCTCTTGATAACTTTTCATCAAAAAGAAGATTGGTTTTTTTTCGATGATAAGCAACTTCGGTTTAGATTTTTTGAAAAAACTAATTTAATTTATGTATTTTAGTTTGTGAAATTGCCATTGAAAGTTCTTTTTAATGCTTTTATTACATAATTTTAAAAAAGACGAAAAAAAGTACATGCTATTTGGTAAAATATAATAATAATATAATAAGTCCTAAAAAGTCGGCTGTATTTAATACTATAAATAATGATCTTATAGAAAAAATGCAAATGAAATTTATTTGAAAAAGAAAAAATTTCCAAAAATTGGAAAAATTTATATATATATATATATAGTCTATTTTATGCCAGTATATTTCTACACAAGAATATGAATATTAATAATTAAAATATAATTTATACAGACCACGTTCTATTGATACAGGCATTTGTACGTACGATAGATATAGATTCACGATTACCATATACTTTTTGTGTCATTCAACAACGATTGTGGTCACATATGGCTTCACGGTACGTACACTTGCTTCTAAATCGCTAGTTCACTTGTTCTAATTTCATTTCTATCATTTCAGATACATCAACCTTTCAACAGTCCGTTGGC